CCCCTCTCTGCTTGCACAGCTCCAGCACATGCTCAGTATGCCCATAAGTTGGGTTGGGTGGGGGGAGGGCATTGACTGGCACCCCCACTTAAAGGGCCAGTGCCACCCTTGCCTACTCCCCAAAGGTACAATGGGCTCTGGCCAACTTCTTTCTTCATACTGAATTACTTCATCTCAACCTCCTCCTCACTTCATCCCAACCTCCTCCTCACTTCCTGGCAGCTTCCTCCTGACCCCTCAGATCCTCTGCCCACCCTGCTACCTCTCATTCCCTACCCCATTGCAGGTCCACAGGACACAGGAGTTTTTACTTGGGGTGGGGAGTCCTTAATGGGGAAGAAAGGGGGATCCCAGGCCAGGCTAGGCAGGAGTGGTGGGAAGCATCAGCAATCACTCCTGTGAAATATTTGCTTCTCTGGTCCTCTCTCCCCTGGTCCAGGAGACCAAGAAGGTCCTAGAAAGCAAACTGGGCTGGAGGGAAGGCAGGCACAGGAAAGGCCTAGGGAGGAGACAGGGGTGTATCTAAGCCTATCCTCCCCAGCTGAGTGCATGTCTGTAAATTGGAGCATCCACCACTGTGGTGGGGTAGGGTAGAAGTCTAGGCCTCAGAGGGAACAACTGGACAGGTTCTTCAGGGAAAGGAGGGAAGTGATGAGATGAACCCAGGCCTGGCGGTCACCTGTAGCTGAGCCTGCTTTCCTCAGGAGGGAGACTCAGACACTCCAGCTCCCAGTGATGGTCTCCTCCCTCCACACCCCTCACCCTGGGAGTCAGGGCACTGAGGTCAGGGAACTGGATGGCAGAAGGGGGGTGACATGGATCCTTCTTCACTGACCCTCTTGCTCAGCCCCTCTTGACTTTCCCAGCTCCCACCCCTCTCCTTTGTCTGCTTCTTGCCCCACGGTGTCCCCCACCAGCCTTGGGAAAAAATCATCCACCTCAGTGGTGTGCCCTGGCCAAGAGCCCTTCAGCCATTCTATGGGGGAGGGAGGAAGGAGTGAGAGGACAGGCCGGCTGGCAGCTTTCTTGTCTCCAGGCTCTTCAGCTTCTTGGCCAAGAAGGGCCTAGCCCCTCACCTGCCCCCTCCCAGCCCCTGCTCTTCATTCAGGGAGCAGCTCTCACCCACTCAGGGACTAGCTGCCTCCCAGACACACCCTCTCCCTCCACACTGTGCAGGCCCCCCCTCCATACTGTGCAGGTCCCCCCTCCACACACACACCTCCCTGTAAACAACCTCCTCCTGGCCCTCCCCTTCTAGGCTCCACACTGAGGAATGCAGCAGCTGGGAGGCTGCCTGTGCCTTGCCAAGCGGCCTTCAGGTCCCAGGCTAGCACCCTACACGGGAAGGCAGGCCTTGGCTGGCTTCCATGGAATCCGGAAAGTCACTTCCGCTCTGAGCCTTGGGTTTCCCATCTGCAAAGTGGGGACGACCATTCCTGCCCACCCTTCCTCACAGAGTTGTCTGGGGATCAAAGGGCAGGGGCTTAATAAATTAAAGCGCTCAGCCAGTGTTCCAGGGGCAGATCTCCCAAGGATGGGACTTTGTCTCCCTTGAAACCCATCCCTTCCTAGAGTCTGTTCCTGCTGGCTTCATTGTAGAAGGCGCTGGCTAGGCCTGGGTGTGGCAGGGCAAAAATGAAAGTTGTTCTGGCAAAACACAGGGATCGTCAATATTTCCATCCCAGCAGCTCCCAGGCCTGAGCCCTTCTCCTGCCCAACGTGGCCTGTCAAAATGAGCGCCTGGAATGGAAGCCAGGCAGGGCTGGCCAGGCCTCCGCCCCTCCCTGTGTGTGGTGGTAGAGTCAACACAGGCTCACTTGTGAGCCGACTAACTTCCTTCGTGCCACTGCAGTTATCCTTGCTGCCAGCCTGGTATGCAGCTGTGGCCAGCAAGGTCTGGGAGGGTGCGGGAAGAGACAGAGTGTCTGCGGAAGGGTGGGTCTGTGTGAGGGTCTGTGAGCTCATCTCGGAGCCCAGTAGTGGCTGGCATGCTGGTGGTATCTGTATCATCCAGGCTGACCCTCTATTATGCTAACAGGTGAGAGGCTCACACACTTCAGAGGGAATTTACCACACACGTGTTTAGACTCAGAGGAGCAGGATGCACATGGACGCAGGGCAGGCATCAAGAAGGCCAGGCAGTCCAGTGCTGTTAAGAATCCATCTGCTGTCCCCCTCTGCCTCTTGGGCTTTATTTTCCATCAGGAGAATGCATCCCTTGAGTGCTTACTCGGAAGCGCCCTTCCAGGAGGAAAGGGGACAAACATGAGATGACTAACCTCCTTCCTAAGTCCTTGCTGGAGGACTAGGGGTATGTGGGGACGATGGGGGTGCTGTCAAGGAAAAAGAGACACAAGACACTCAGACCTCATCTTGCCCAACCCTCTCGATACAGGGAGAAGACAGGGCGCCTGGGAGCAAACCTGGAGTTCCCGGGTCACATGAAAGGTTAAGTGCTCAACTACTAACTGAAAGGTTGGTGGTTCAAACCCACCCAGAGGCACCTCAAGAGAAAAACCTGACAATCTGCTTCCAGAAGTTCACAGCCTTGAAAGACAGATGGAGTGCAGTTCTACTCTGCAACACATGGGGTTGCCATGGGTTGGAATCAAGTTGATGGCAACTGGTTCTTTGGTTTGGGAGCAAACTTTGAAGGAATCCCTGGGACAGAATGACAGCCTGGGTTGGGCCATCTCCTGAAGTCCCAGCTCCCTCTCCTCCAGGGGAAACTCCCAGCTCCTCATAGCCTGATGGCATCTCGTCAGGTTCCAGCTGAACCTGGGGGCTCCTGATGAGCTCCCTCCCACTTTGGCATCCCCCTAGAAAAAACCTTCAGTGCATTCTGATTGCAGACCCAGAGAGTGGAATTCAGGCATCGTGGGGACCCTGATAGGTCCCCAATCCACAGCTCTACTATCTTCCCAACTTGGGGCAAGGGGGGACTGCAACCCCAAGTCCCAGACCTTCCTGGGAGGACTGGGCTTGGATGCCTAGAGCAGCCCTAGGGGATGGACTGCCCTGCCAAAGCCCATGAAGTCAACACTAGCCACTCCTGTTTGGTTTCACCAAGATCTTTTAATTTCTTTATGAAAAATAAGATGACATCAAAGAACAAATTGTGGAAATGACAAGGTAGACGTCAGAACCAATTTCAGCTGTTCTCAGAGGACACAGGGTACTGAGAATGGTTTTCATCTGCCACCTGCCTCCCTGGGACCCAGCTAGCCTGAGTGGGTATAAAATGGCACCTTCTCCTTGGCTCAGCCTGGCTGGGGGGCACCCCTAGGTGCCCAGCTCCTCACTGCAGCTGCCGCCCACTCGGTTCCACATCTCGTTCTCCTGCCGAAGCCGCTGGTTCTCGGTCCGCAGCCTCTCCACCTCGGCAGCCAGCTCCTCCAGCTGACGACAGGGCTGCTGGTTGGTGTACCGTTGCAGCTGCTGCAGCCTCCGGGTCTCCTCCTCAGCCTGTGACAGCCGCCTCTCCAGATCCAGGTAGTCTCGCACCAGCTCCTGCTTGCTGCGGCCCTGCAGGCTCTCAGTGTGGTAGCGCTCACAGGCCTCGGAGAAATCCCTCTGCAGGAACTCACCGTGAGCCTGGCCTGGCCCGTCACCGTCCCCTGCCTCACTTTCCCCACTGGAGCCTGGGTGGGAGACCCTGTGGGGCACATCCAGGTCAGGCTCCTCCGGGTCTCGGTCATTCATCAGGAACTGGGTGGTGTTGTAAGGCGCCACAGGCTGGCCCTTGGCGAACATCTCCTCGCGCACCTGGAAGGCCCTCTGACTCTGCCTCTCATCCCGCTGTTGCTTCTCAGCCCAGCTCAACTCCAGATAGGGCCGCCAGTGCCTCTTGCGCTTCGATGGCCGCCGGCGGTGCTTCTTCCGGGCCAGCACTGCCTCTGCTGAGCAGCCCCCTGGGCTCTGGGTCCGGGGACCCCTACTGTTCCAGCCACCAGCAGCCCTGGCAGGATCCTCATCCTCTGAGTTGCTCTCCATCGGAGGTGTCAAGGGCAGGGAACTGCCAGGGTCATGAGGCCCAGGGGGTGTTTCAGGGCTTCTGGGAGCCCCAAAGCTCTGAAGAGAGAGGACAAAGGGGAAGGGATCACAGACAGCCTGTCCCTGCTGGTAGAAACTTTCCCATTCCACCCAGCATGAAGCTGACCTTCCCATACCCAGCTAGCCTGGTCATTCTCTAGCCCGTTACCCTTCTGCAACCATTTTGTTTATTTAGCCTTACCTGTCTACTGTCTGCCCACACTGCTCCATTCCCAAGTAAACTCACAGTGAGATCAGAAACTCTGCCTGTGTTGTTCACTCTAATTTCAATACCTAAAACAGCACCTGGCACAGGGTAGGTGTTCAATGAAAACTATTTGAATGAATGAAGCAGGAGAAGAAAACCGGGATGGAGGGTGACTTAGATGTGTTTGCTCAGTCAGAAGCCCAAATAGTACTTGCTCTTCTTTCTACCTAGAAAGCTTGTCTTTCAGACAGGGCTGGGTCCATGGGCCCCACGTTCAGAAAGGTCTCACACTTGGCTTAAACCTCTGCGGTCACCATCCTGAAATTCTCAATGGGCCCTTTTGCACTGAGCCCCATAAATTATGTAGCCAATTTTGCTTCCAGATATTTACATAGCTGACTCCTTCTCATCCTTTAGGGCTCAGTTCCAGTGTCATCTCTTCAGAGAGGTCCTCCCTGACCACCTATCAAAAGTAGCCCCCACCTCCCTTCCCCAGCAACTCCCTATCAGTCACCCTGTTAATGTCCCACATAACACTGATCACATTACCATTTACCATCTGTCTTCCTCCCATCTGAATGTATTTTGTCCATTCGGTTCACTACGCTATCCCCAAGCCTGACACAAGGTAAGTGCTCAATAAATGTTTGTTAAATGATCCAAAACCTATAAGATAGGGGGATCCAAAAGATAGTGGACAGTGAGACTCTTCTTTCCATGGTTCTAGGGTACAGAAGATAGAGTGTATTTATTCCAAGCAGAAGTTGGTGGATCACTCTTCTACATGAGGGGCAGGAAAGAGGTTCCAGTCGGGAAGAAAAGCCAACCTCCAGTCTGCAGCTGAGAGAGTTCTAGAACTTATCTAAGAGGTGGAAAGGATTCTGCCAAGAGAGTGTGTCTGTGTTCAGGGCATCTGTTTATCTCTCTGTGGTGAGGGTGGGAATACAGAGTGTGGGGGACAGGGAATGAACTGCGCTAAGTTTGTGGTTTGGGGATTTCTAATAATAACCACTGCCACTGGTATGTTGTTTTGTGATATACAACATGGCTCAGAGACATGCGCGCATGGGTCTGTACAGGCATAGGGTGTATGTTAGGGGACATGGTGTGTGCAGCCCTGTAAGAGCTAGGGATGTGCTATGTGCATTTTGGAGACCCTGAAGAGAACTGCTTCAGGGAAAAGGAGGCATGTTAGAGTGTGAGTGTGAGTGTGTGAGTGTGTGAGTGTGTGTGTGTGTGTGTGTGTGTGTGTGTGTGTGTGTATGTGTGGTGTTGGATGGGTTGTACGTTTACTTCACCAGCAGGGAGATCATCAGTCAAAAGCAACAGGCCTTGTCTCCATCAGTGGCTTCGGTCAACTGAGAAAGACCTGCTAGCTGACCCGGGAGAGGCAAGGCCACTAGCTACACTGAGGCAGCGTGGCTTGTTTGTGTGTGTGCACTCACCTGCTCCCAGCCCTCAGCAAATGTCCTCTAAAGATCTTTCCCCGCACCCAAGCTAGCCCTGCCCCTCAGCCCCACATGCTGCCTCCCTCCTGAAGGCTTGTCCTTCCACCACTATTATCACTACTGCAGATAAGCTGTGTGACCTGGTTGAGTCGTTTGCCCTCTCTTAACTTTCTAGCCCTGACATGCCATGAACTCTAAATTAAATAATTCCAGGAAACACTAGAAATAGCTAGGTAGTGTGAGTCAGAAGCTCCTGAACCCCCACTCTAAATTCCCTCCTCATCTACAGGGAGTTAATGGCTGGAGAAGAGGGGGCAAAGTGCGGGCCATGAGAGAGCATAGGCTAGGAGGGTTTTGGTGGTTCAGTAGTAGAATTTTTGCCTCCCATGCAGGAAATCTGGGTTCAATTCTTGGCCAATGCACCTCGCGCACAACTACCACCTATCTGTCAGTGGAGGTTTGCCTGCTGCTGTGATGCTGAACAGGTTTCTGTGGCGCTTCCAGATTAAGACAGACTAGGAAGAAAGGCCTGTGATCTACTTCGGAAAACCAGCCAGTGAAAACCCTGTGGATCACGACGGTCTGATCTGCAACTGATCATGGGGATGGTGCAGGATCGGGCAGTTTTGGTCCATTGTGCATGAGGTTGCCATGAGTCAGGGGCTGACTTGAAGGCAGCTAACAACAACAGTCTGATAAGAAGGTGATGTCCTCAGGGACCTGATACAATCTGCCTCTCCTCTCTCTCCTGGGTCATATCCTACTCCCCACTGCCATCCCAAATTATAGATTAATTGTTCAAACTCTTCTTCCTGCTTCAGACTTGGTTCTCAACCTGGACAACATACAACTATTCAACCAAGTTCTGTGGCCTTGAGGTCAAGGCACAGTTCTGTTGTCAGAAGGCCCTTGGTTATACCTGGGTCTGTTGCTTGCAGGCTCCATGATTCTGGAAAAGTTATTTCAGCTCTCAGAACCTTAGCTTCTGTAAAATGGAAATAATAATTCCTATCTTGAAAGGCTACTAGGATTTCATCAGATAGCACCGATTCAGCATCTGGCATATTGCCCATGACATAGCAGGGACTCATTAAAAAATGCTGGTTTTCCAAATCTGCCACCACACCTGAGACAAGCTAGGATCCCAGCTGGCAGGATCTAAGTTCAGCATAGTCAGGTGGATGGGAGGGTCAGGGCTTACCTTGGCCTCCTCCAGGTCTGCTGGTGACTCTGTATTACAGTTGGTCTGTTTTGGAGCGGCCACCTTCTTCTGTTCCAAATCTCAGAGCAGATGCCTGTAACTACTGACGCCTGCTTTAAAGAACAACAGAAACCTAAGTCCTGAGGGGGAATTCTGAGGAGGGCTCTGGCTATCCAGGAAGTCTTTACGAAGGCAGTGGCAGCCATTTCGTAGCACCAGACCTCCACACCCTCATTTTCAAAGGAAGGCCCTGGAGGCTGCCTCCACGCCCTGGTTTCCACACCTCCAGCCAAGAAAAAAACAACCTGACTTGCCACCAAGTCAATTCAGACTCAGAGCGACCCTATAGGGCAGAGTGGAACTGCCCCATAGGGTTTTCAAGGAACAGCTGGTAGATTTGAACTGCTGACATTTTGGTTAGCAGCTGAGCTCTCAACCACTGCACGACCAGGGCTCCAACACCTCCAGCCAGCCAGGGGTCAAATGGGGATTAAGGGTCTATCTTCCCAGTGCTGTTCCTTAGGCCCCAGGCCAGAGTTCATTTCCCATACTGCCCTCCTGGACGTCACTGAGGCCCAGTCTGGCAGCTAGGAAACTAGGCCTACTCTCTGTTCCCCCAATAACCAAACGGGAAAAGGAGTCCGCCTCAATATACCATCTACAGCAATAACCCTGGGGAGGCTGGGAGTGGGATGGATCTGTGGCTCTGACAATATGTAGCTAGTTTAAAAGGGGTCCTTTACCCACTGCATCCAGAGGCCCCAATCCTGGCTGCAGCCCCCCAACTCCTCCTCAGCCGGGGCTCCAGAAGGCAATGCCCCTTGAAGCATGGCTGGGGGCTGGGCCGAACCTGGGCTGAAGCTTCTTCTCTACAGAGCCTGGCTTGCCACCCCTCTTCCTCTCAGGACCGGGAAGCAGAGGAAAGGGGAAGGAGAAGTAGTCCCACTAGGTGCAGCTGAAAGGGAAACCCAACTGGGATAAGGCTGGATTCCTTTAAAGAGGGCAAATGGTCTGGGAAGGAGATTTTGCAAAAGCAGAACTGACCTATTTGCTGTCAAGGGCTGCGCACACGACTACATCTATGTGTCTTTCTGTGAAGCACCCTGTCTGCAATTCCCAACGTCCAGCCCTACCTCTTGCTGCCATTGCAGCAGCTCTGGTCAAGCCGTTCAAGCACTAAGGTTGGTGGGAGGGGACAGCCTGGACAGCACCGAGCCTGCTGGGGATTGTAGTTCTTCTAGCCTTGGAAGGCGGATCAAGATCCTGTCACGTCAACGGCCACATCCGAGGACTACAAAACCCTTCTATCCTTGCGCGAGTAGGGGGCCTGCGCTCACCAGTTCTGTTCTCTGATTGGTCAAAACATATGCCAGTATTCTTACTTTCGTCAACGATTAGCTGTGCAGAAGCACAACTGGATCCGCCTTTCCGAACTCAATTAAAAAGTTCATTGACGGCGTTAATCTTGAAGGGCAGAAAATAGATCCGGCTGAGGGGGGGGCGGGCCTGGGCGCGGAGGGATCCTCGGCCCTAGAGGAAGGCGACGAGAAGATCGGTGGCCGCAGCCGCCATTTTGGGCTGGGAGGAGGCAGCGGAGGGACTCGCTGCGCAGTGAGAGCACCCCGCGGGGGGTGGTCTGGGCGCGGGGAGAGGCCGGGCCAAGTGGGCTGCCTGAAGTGGCGGCGCCAGGAGACGGTGGGGTGTGGTACCGGGGGCCGGGGGGGGATGAAGGTTGGAGTCTCCCCGGCTGGGCCCGGTCCTCAAACCGCCCCGGCAGCCCCGCAGCCTCTGCTCTTAAAGAGGTCAGGGTTCTTGGGTAATTACCGCGTGTTTCCCGAGAGCCTAGTAGGGGAGAGACCGGGTGAAACGGCTCTTCTCTGCTGTCCTTCCACTAAAGCGCGGATTCTAAGGCCGAGCTCTGCCAAGTTCTCTCCCTACCCCATCCGGCCTGGCATGGCAGCGAGGCGCAGCGTAGCGGGACCCCCACCTCGACGGGCGAAGTGGGGGCGACGCCAGATTCCAAAGACTGGCGCCGCGGGCAAGGGTGGAGGTCGCATCTCCAGCTGCGCGTCTCCCCACCGGGTCCACCCCTTGGCTCCAAGGGCAGAGGGCCTGACGCGACTACCATCTCCCCCAGCCCCATACACCAAGGCCATCCTGTAGCCTGGGCTGCGAAAAGGAACAGCCTTCATACTGTAGCAACCACTGATTTCTCCTGGGACCAGCTAGATAGGGGCACGTGGAAACCTTTGCGAGCCCAGTGCTTGGAGATCTCTGAGCGCACTTGCTCTCAAGATTTCTCCCGTCCAGCCCCGATTCTGTAACGACCAGACTCAGCACGTCTCTAGTCACTTTGGGAGGCTCCTGAAGTGTGCGGTTCCACTTGTCTTGAAAGTTCACACCAAAGGGATGGGTCATTGCCCTTTGCAGAGTTGGGACAGAAAATAACTCATAGTCGCCACAGCCCAGGAATAGAAATGGAGTGGCCCATTTTGAATGCTTCAGGGACATCTGTTTGCATTTTGAAATCCGAGCCATAACTTTTACCAAAGCTTTTGGAGAAATGGCTGCCCTTTTAGAGGAAAAAACGAACTAATTCCAATGTAGTCTTTGTAAGACTCCAAATTCTTTGCGGTTTAAAGAATTTTCTCTCCCAAACTAAGCAAAGTGAGGGAGCATTTTGCAGCCACCGGTGCATTGTTACTAAAGCAAAACAAAACCAAATCCGTTGCCATGGAGTCATTCCGACTCCTAGGGACCCTATAGGACAAAGTAGAACTGCCCCAGAGGGGTTTCCAAGGAGCGCATGGTGGATTCGAACTGCCGAACTTTTGGTTAGCATTGTTGCTAGGAAGTCTCTATTTTGGAATTCCAAGTAATTGAAAATCACTTCTGTAGATCCTAGATGCTACCAAAATAGAGAGCACTTTTTAGCTACTTCATGTATGTGGCGTTTGGGGAGAGAAAATCCACTTTGAAAAAATAAAACGCTCGACCTTACAGCTGTAGCAGCTTCTGAAGGACTTAAGTTTAAGATGAAGTTCTTGTTCTTGAATGGCAGATTAAACCATCTTGTTTCCTACTGCTTGAAACCTAAGTCCAGAGAGGTTTATGGCTTAGGGATATCTTCAAATAATAGTCTTGTTGCTAAAAATAAAAAGTTGGTTAAAATGATGCCTAGGTAGGTTCTTAAGTAGTAGAGATTTTTCTGGGTGACTGGGTAGTGAACTTTGTATTTGTGGGTACCTTGTGATGAATCTTGTTATTAGTTACAGATACTCAAATCATTTCTAAATCTTAATAACAAGAATCTTGGGAGAGTTCTTCAGAACTGAAAACTTGCTCCTGTTACTCAAAAAAAAAAAGCCAAGCCTATTGCCACTGAGTCGATTCTGGTTCATAGCAACCCTTTAGGACAGAGTAGAACTGCCCCATAGGGTTTCCAAGGCTGTAATCATGGAAGCTGACTGCCACGTCTTTCTTCCCTGGAGCGGCTGGTGGATTTGAACCGCTGACCATTTGGTTAGCAACTGAGCACTTAACCACTGTACCACGAGGGCTCCTTGTTCCTATTGTTTATAATTTTTTTAAGTTGTAAGGGTGGGACATCTCCACAGCCTTGACTATTCCTCCTCCCCTCCAAGATGTTCTCAGAAGAAGTCTTAAAACTAGATTGCAAAAATATCACCATTGACCCAGGTTCTTAATGTCAGACTTGAACCACATAGTCCTAACTAAATGAAGCTTTGGTACACTTGATTTGTATTGTAGGTTGACTTTAGTCTGTGTCATGTTCATTTTATACTATTCAGATGTCAGTTAGGAAAAGCTGACACTAACTTGGTAGGAGTTAAGTTAAATAGTTATTAGGAGCTGAAAGGGGCTTTAAAGATTATCTGGTTCTTCTGCGGAGAATTTAATGAAGGAGAATCCCAGGCTCTTGTGATTCATCCTCCATTGTGAAGTAATCTAGTTAAACCTTTGGATGCTACCAAGTGAAAAACACTTTACTAGGTGCAGAAATTTGTTACTCATTTATAAAGATGAAAGCTTGTTGTCTTTAAGGTTGACCCATAAGCTTTTCCATTCCTCGATTTAAAAAAAAAAATGAGAATAAAACCAGTTTATTAATGGTTCTCTGGTTATCTACTGAGCAAAACACAGGCTTGGGAGTTAGGAACTCCAGGTTCTATTTGTTTGTGCTACTACTGACTTCGTTGGCTTGGCTACACTCCAAATCCTGAAGATGAGGCCAGACTGGTCATTTTGTTACTGAGTCTTGTTGTTCATCTAGTGTTCAACCAGACCTTCAGCTTCCTCCTCAGCTCTCGCCTTTCAGCTGAGTTGCTTTGTGGTGTATGACAAATTCTCCAAACCCTGTGTACCTCAGTTTGCTAATTTGAAAGTGGTGTCCATGCTCCCTCCCTCATAAATACCTTGAGGAGTAACTAGTCATCTTCAGTAGCTATGTAAACATCTACTTGCTGTAACTTCATTATTTGGGAACCCTAGAACTTATGCTTCAAAGGTCATTTGGGACAGTTGGGAGGCCTGTCTTATTGAACTATAGCCTGGATTGCCCACAGGACCACAAAAGGTGACCATCTGAGTAGGCTGAACAAAGGGCGGTCTCTCAGGGTGCCAAGCAGTTGTTACTGTGAAGTCCTGGACATTGTGTGTTTGCCTGATGTCCAGCTCCTGCGGGCCCCTGGCTATGTGTGAGCAGAGTTCATTGACAGAGGCAGGGAAGATTTTTAGCCACAGTCCTCCCCTTCAGGATGAAGATGCTTGTTTCTGAACAATTTAGTTTCCACAGATAATCGATTTTTTACTCTCCTTTCTTTAGCTCCTGCCATCCTCCCTCTACTTTTTCTCTTTTTAAATTGTTCAAACACTTATGGTTTTAATAAATATGCTTTTAATAATAACCAAGAGGAAGACAGGACTAACTTCTTAGACATTTCCTTCCATCCCCTAGTTTGGTCTTCCATTCTTCAGTTTGGTCTTCTGAAAGTTGTACTGGGGTTATCCAGACAAGTACATGTTTAAAGCAGGCTTCAAAACTCCAAATTAATTTCCTCCCTTGACCCTCTTGAAGCTAGAACAAGTTCTACTGAGTAGCTTATAAGAGAGGCGTTGCTATCATTTTCTCAAATTCTTGTGTATGGAGCACTCTAAAGCTCCTACATTTCCCTTCAGGAATATCCTTTTTACTCACTGTAGACCCAGGGCTTTTTAAAACTTAACACGAAGTGATCTGTCAAATAGAATACAGCTTTAGATGAGAGTTTACAATTCACTTCTGAATTTCTGTTATTGAAAAAAACTTTTAAGTCAAATATAACTTCTTTTGTTGATATATTGAGGAGAAGATCACACTAGCTATTTCAAAAGACTTATGGACAGTTTCCTGTAGTAGCTGAACCATTTGAATTTTGTTGGTGTGCAAAAGTTATTAGTGAATTATTAGGATTATTCCTGCTGTTGCCCGTGTTGTTAGGTCTTTTGTCATAATTGAACCTTCTCTTCCTAAGTAAAGCCCAAGAAAAAGTTTATTCTGGAGGGTTTGTGAGAGCTAAATTATTGATCTGCCTAAAGGATTCCCCAGCCTTTGTTTTTTTTTTCCAACAAGAAACAGAATGAGGTTGTAAACTTTCCAATATCCAAAGACAAGTGTCAAAAATTGGCCAAAGATTGATTCTTTACCTCCTAGACAGTATATTCTGTCCATGTTGCATAGTATGACTATTACCCTTTGGTCAACAGTTAGACATTTTCTGTCTTTTAAAAGTTACTTTTCATTTCTAGCATGAATCATTTACACTCTATATGAGAAAGGATAGTCAAGTGGAATTTTTATTCCAATGATCTTACATGTGCAAATGCAAAAAATAGCAACTTTCCAAATAAGCTCACATGTACTAAGGTAAAAGTACTACCTTGACTGTAGCCACCTTTTCCATCACACTGTTGTGAATATTTGTTACAGGATGTTAAGGGTGTAAGTGGCCAGTGGGCCTGCCCTCAGGAGAACACCTGTGGTGCATTACCTAACGTTTGACTAAATATAGCCAGCCCTTGATTTTCTGAAGGTAGACTGTTGAATTGTGGATTTTTTAAAAATTCTGTGGATTCTCTTTTTTGGGTTCTCTTAAGTTTTGAAATTATTAGGGTAAATTTATTTTCATTCCCTCAAGCAGAGGATTTTATTTTATTCCGGATAAAGTGAAAATTAAAATACCAATCAAATGGCCAGGTACTCTGGTCTTAAGCAGAACCAATAATAATAACCGTAGCATTACTTTTGTATAGATCTTTACTTTTGTACAGAACATTTTCATTTTTTGTATTATTTCACACTGTCACATTTAATTCTTACAGCAATTATGTGAAGTAGCACAGCAAGTAGTAGCCCCATTTTGCTGATGAAGAAACAGATTGAGACTCTGAGAGGCATAGAGATGTGTCCAGGGTTGCACAGGTAGTTCATGTCAAAGGTGTGACAAGGACCCTGGTTTTTTTTACTCATTTTGGTCTCATTTTTATTATGTCATGTTTCCTCTCTTTAGACATGCCTAGTCTATTTTTCAGAATTAAACCAATCTGAAACCCACTGGCTTTCTCTTCCCAAAAAATTCTGAAAACAAATTCAGGACCCTGTCTCCCGAAAGCCTCTTTCTGTTTTCGGCCAGCCCAAGAAAAGCTGTCCTCACTCAAAGGAGGATTAAGGTGTCCAAGTAGCTGTCTCAAAAGTTTGGTAACCAGTTTGCCCTGGCTGGATACCCAGGCCCCAGTATGAGCAAGGGAACAAACTGAAATTGCAAATTGGTAAGCCTGGTCTTTTGAGCAGCTCAGTTAAAATGTTTGGCATAGGAGGCTTAAGTGAAAGGTTAGAATGCGTGTGAGGATCATTTGTCATCACAACCCTGTTAATAAAGGCAACTCAGAGGCTTTTCTCGCTGTTTGGAGAGCAGTATCCTGGTCCAATGTTTCAATGTAGAAAGCGTTCATAGCTGAAATTTCACACAAACCTCATTCTGAGAACATAAATGTAATAAATATAGTAAAATGCCAGTGTCTTTGAAAGGAGAATTCAAACCAGAAAGTTACATAACTCAAGGTAAATCAATTTATGACAGTTACTTGAAACTGTAAATAATTGTTTTTTTAAAGAAAACTGAATTTATCTCCTAAAAGTAAAACCTTTTTTTTCTGATGGCAAATGCATTTAGAGATTCTTTCCAAGATTCTTTTTGGAATTTTCATTTTTCCAATAGTAGGGGAAACAAGACCTTTATAATTAATCTACCTAACTAAGAAGAAGATCTAAAAATCAAAGGTTCTCACTGCTGCATCCATCCCATAGTGCAGTCACAATGAGGCTTCCACTCTGCAGTGCAAAGCCAGAGGGCAGTGTTGCTGCCTCTCGACAAAGCAGCGGTTTTTTGGGGCTGCTGCATGATGTCATAGCAGAAGGAAGATTGAAAACACGAAGTAAACTATTTCAAAATAAACCTTTAATGTAATTTTTAGGTTAAAGCAAGAACGACCATACATTGTCTCCAGTGGACCATCTGCTAGAATAGGGCCAAGCTCAGTCCAGCTTTGAAGGCCCTGAGTCAGTCCTGACCAACATAATTTCCCTTGATTCATTGATTTGTGTATGCCTCTTACGTATCATAAGGTGCATTTAAAGTTCCCATCTCCACTATTTCCATTTAGATGCAAAACCAAGCTTCCCAATGGGAAGCTTTCTTTCCCTTTCACTTCAGGAATTCTTAACCTTCAGGGGGAGTTTGACAATATGATTCTTTTGAACTCTCTCCCCAGAAAAATGCACATATAACAAGTTTACACATAATGTCATGGAGTTCACGGACCCCAAGGCCCCCTGTGGTTTCTAAGGCCCCAAGTTAAGGAACCCCTGTGCTAGTGATTTGAGCAAAGCCATTGCTCTGGGGAAACACTGACACAGGGCAGGTGAAGATGGGCTGGGTGATGGAAACTATGGTGACAGGAGGGAACAATCTTACCATTCTTACTATTTTAATTTTGGGGCAAACATTAATTCCCAGAGCCTCCCAGCTGTTTGAAGAGCTGAACTACTCAAGAACCTAAGCAGCTATCAGTGCAGTTTACTAGTTGAGAATAGCAGCTGTACAGGAACAAGAAGGGTTCCTCACTCAGCCCTTAAGGACCTAATTTAGCTTAATTAACCAGAAGCTTTACATTTTATTTGGAGTGAGGGGTCTTTAATTTGACCCTCCTATTCCTTTTGGGGGGGAGGTGGGGGTGGGTATAGGAACCACTTGAGTATTAGACAATTAGAGTAAGTCCTTGGGACCACCCAAACAGCCATTTACTCTATAAATCGAGTATTCCCTGCCTCTAAACATCTTAACACAAAGAGCTGCCCCAAAAGTTGTGTATCTTATCTAACCATTGCTTGCAAGGGTTTACTGAGAGCCTCTCCCAAGCATCCAGGATCTCGTTACAGCCTTATTTGCCCCAGAGGTAGGGGGGTTTTGATTGCTGAAAACCACCTTGTACAGATGAAACACGAGGCTGTCCTCTAACCTAACAAACTGCCAAATTATGTTTTTGTTAACACACTTTCTAAATGGCTATGGGTAAGCAGAATTAAATTTTAAGCTTTTTATTGTAGCCGCTTTGCACTCCCCCAAACACCCAACACTGATTTATTTCTCCAGCATCAGGGAAGAAAACCAAGGCACTAGAAAGCAAGCACACTTAAGTACTGAAGATAATTAAATTTTTATATTTTGCCTGAACAGTGTATTGTAGCACGCTAAAACCCTTCAAGAGGAAATTTGGCAAATTGAAAATTCTCCCATTAAGATTGTTTTGCAAACTGACAAATTTAATGATTTCTTTACCCCAAAAATGTAATCACATAAAATAACTCAGTACTATTTTGAATTAGCTAGAAATCACACTGAAACTATGTTACATTTACAAATATTAAATTTATTATAACTAGAATGAATTTAATGGTTCTCAGATTTGGCCACCTTAAAACTCCGTTTAAGGAGGAGGGGATTTTTTTTTTTTTTTTAAACAGAAAAATGCAGTATAACTTGGTCAAATTACACATTTAAAAAAAAAAACCTTCTAAAAAGGAAAAGAAAAGCAACCCTTCAGATTCACATAATTAAAGAACAGGAGAAAGCACACAAGCTACATCATAGCTAAATTAACCAAACCAACCAAAGCCGGGGGGGATTTTCTCTTCTGATTATTTGTCATAAAAAGGTCCACTGTCTTATATACACATGTATATAATGTTACATTCCATCACTGTAAAAAGTCCCCTTTCCTCCCTCCCCCCAAAAGTTTCAGTCTAGTCTCCAAACTTGGAAAGCGGCGCTCGCTCCTGCTGCCGGTGCAGTTCGTTCTCCGTCAGTAGCTGGAGGTTCTCGGCGCGCAGCCGGTCCAGCTCCAGCTCCAGCTCCCGCACCCGCGCGTCTTCGCTGCCCAGCCGCTTGCTTTCCAGCCGCAGCCGGTTGTTCTCGTCTTCCATGCGCGAGAGGCACTTCTCTAGCTCTAGGTATTCCTTGATGAGCTCCTGCTTGCTCATGTTCTGCAGGCTCTCCGCGTGGTACCGCTCGTAGGTCTCCGAGAAGTCCCGCTGCAGAAACTCACTGCCGTCCCCTCCCATCCCGTCGCTGCCCCCGTCCTCCTCACCCGCTTCTTCCATAAAGTCCTCATCGCTGGTGTCGTCGGATTTGGCGGCGGCTCGCTTGGGGTAGAGACCGGTTTTGAGATCCGGCTCCTCCTGGTCGTGATCATCCATGAGGAACTGCGTGGTGTTGTAGGGCGCGACTGGCTGGCCCTTGGCGAACATCTCGGCTCGCATCCTCGAAGCTCGCTGGCTCTGTTTCTCGTCGAACTTTTTCTTCTCCTCCCAGGTCAGCTTGTAGTACGGTTTCCAATGCCGCTTCTTCTTGGAGGGGCGTCTCCTATGCTTCTTCTTGCCCAGCTGTCTCTGCTGCTGTCCCCACGCCTCCTCGCCCCCGGAGGCAGGCGCCCCCAACTTGCTGGCCTCGGAGTCATGACATGGGTGGACGGGCGGTCCGGCCTCGGGTCTCGACTCCCCTCCCGCCGCTGGCGGGGAGGCTCCGCCAGCGGACAGGTCGTCCCCGTTCTGGCCTTCTTCCCCCGCTTTGGGGCAGCTAGGGTCTGGGCGGGCCTGGCTCAGAAGGGGAGGTGGCTGGGGCTCCAGGCTCCCTTCCCCCTCCTGCCCCGGACGGCAGCCCGACTGGGGGGACGCTCTCGATTGCCACCTACTGTCCTCCTTGGGCACCCGCTCCTCCGCGCCCGGGGGGCGCTCGGGGTTCCGCTCTTCATGGACAGCAGCAGCACCTGTACAGTTGGTAGTTTGCGGTCGGTGCTGATATTCTGACAGGAGTGGCTCAGCCATGGCTAAAAGAGTCCTCTTCTCGAAGTTTGAAAAATTTTGGCTATAAGTCCTTAAGGAAAAAAGGTTTCTCTTTTTAAAAATATCCAACGGAGTCCTCTTCGGCTAGTAATTCCTGCAATGAACGCCTTCAACCAGTCCTTCTGCCAGCAAACTCCAATTGCAACTTGGGGGAGCTCAAGTCAGTAAAGGGTTAAGTGCCCTCAGCGCAGCCAGCTAGTGGGTCCAAGGGGGTGCAGTACGTAATGTACGGAGGGGATGGGCCTCAAGCCTCCCGCAGAGCACCCCCACAATCGAAGAGTTGGTGGGCAAAGAGATGAGGTTAAGTCCAAAGGGTTAAGCCTCGTCCCGAAGGGGTTAAAACTACCCGATGACGCTGCCTCGGAGGGGCCGGATCCACAAAGGGTTAAATCCCTTGCCGCAGAGCCCACAAGGGGTTAAAGTCCCTGAGCCACCTCCTCCCACTTCCACGGGTGTCGCTCCAACCCGAGCTCCCAGTTCCCTAGGCCCGGCCGGAGCCTCAGCCGAGGACAGACAAACTCATCTCCCCTTTGGCTCGATGCTCTGCTCAGCTCAGTTCTCCTCCGCCTCCTCCTCTTTTCCTCCCTCCCTCCTCCCCCTTCCGACAGCTTCTCTTCCGCCTCCTCCCCCGACTTCCCCTCCCAACCTGCCTCTCCACCTGCCAACTTCCAACTGCTGTCTCCCAGCCCTCTGCGCCTCTTTTATATACAAGCCTGTCCGCTCCGCCCCTGCGCATGCGTAACGGAGTCCCCATCGCGGGAAGCCGGGAGTCGTAGTTCCTATCTTTTATGCCTGCCGTCCTCGCGCGCCGTGCGACGTAGCCAATCCCAGGACGCGTAGGGGGCGTCTCCCAGGCCGACTCCTTCCATCGCTTATCCCTCGCTAGGGAAACGTAAGAGACCATTGGTCAAGAGTCACACGACTCGCCGAGGAAGGAGGACCAATCGCAGGGAAGATGGGGCGGGTTCTGGACCATACCATTATGCTTCGGGAATATGAGGAGATTTGGTGGTCTGTGAGGGCCCACACAGAATATTTTTACGGAAAGGTGCGTTTTAAAGGATATTATCGTATTTTGTCCTCAGCGGAAGGGTTGTGAAAATCACAAGCATTTGTTAAGTAAAGCAAAAATGGTTTATTCCTAAAAAGTAGTCCCCAAAGTGTAAAAGAGGATTAAATTCTATGAAGAGAGAAGTAGGCCCACGGCTATTAACCCTCAATTCTTAAGATTATAGTGATGGCTTCAAGGTGGGTGGTTAGCTCCTGGAATTGGCATTTGCGGAAGGATATAGTGAACATATTTTGTAATAAAACGAAAAGCGCATCAAGAAGTAAACAAATGAAGAATAAAAAGTGCCGCCTTAAAGGGACAGTGTGACTCCGTTTAGCGTAGCAACCACGTACTAGGCCGCGGAAAATGAGAGGGCGGGTTCGAGTCCCAGGTGACGTTGACCCTTGGTCTGGCCTCAGCCCCTTGAGCGAAGGAAGCCGAATCCCAGCCCCCGCCACTGGCCTGTTCTCTCAGGGCCGCCTCTGCCACAGAGGCCAATGCAAAATGGTGATCCGCCGCCGCGCCTCTCTCCTGGGTGGGGATCGGAAAGTGCAGGGTGTGCGCCTGGGACAGCCGGGGCGGGAGGGCCTCACCCCCGGGGCCTCAGCTTCTGTCGAAGAAAATGGCCTCCAGGGGCCGACATGGTCTTTTCACTTCCGACCAGGAGCATTTCCTGAGCTTCGATGGGGGAATCCAGGCCAACTGAGGGGCCTCTTTGTTGGGGAGGAGTTTGAAATTAATAATGAGTTTAACTCATCAACCCTGGCTACTGAAAGAGAAGGAGGTTGTATCTGCAGAGGCCCTTCCTCATCAGTGGACGCTGGGCAAGACCGGGAGGGAAGCCACCAGCTTCCCTGAGGAGGAGGAGGCCTTGCCCAGAAATGGGGAGGGCAGGGGGAATTCTGGCCCAGCACTGTGGGCAGACTCATAGAGGGCATATTTTCCCTTGAGAGCAATTCTCCAGACTCCAAGCCCTTGACTAAAACCCGAATCCTCCATAATCACTTTTAGGCCTAAAATCTTTTAGTCGCTACCCACGCAGTCAGTGACCCATTCTCATTATTTCTTCCTTAATAGTAATCCCTTCTACATTCCTATCACTTTGCACCATGTAACGTTCTTTTATACAACTATTTGACCTCACCACAGCCCAGTGAGTTAGGCAGGGTAGGAATTATTGGCTCCATTTTAGAGATAAGAAATCTCTGAGACTCAGAAATTAAGTGATTTGTCCAAAGTCACATGACAATTAAGTGGCAATTCCTGGCAGAGGCAGGTTATGCTCCCCATGCCATTTTTCTTTCTGCCACGAAGTCTCCTAACGTCTTCTTTCTCAAGAACTCTGGATTTAGTTCCTTTTCATTCCCTACAGCTTCAGCCTAATTCAGGCCCTTATTCCTTCACTTGGCAAACATTTGTTAGGAGGGCACAAAGGTGAATAAAATGTCATCCCTGCCCTCAGGTGGACTGTGTAGAATGGCTCCAAATCACAATTCAATAGGAAAAGAGCCAAAATGGCAAGTGAAGAAAATCTTGGCAGGAGCTTGTGAGCCAAACTGATGGGAGTAGGGAATTGTGGACAGGTTTCACAGAGGAGGTGACTTCTTAGCTGGGTACCAAAGGATGAACAGTTTTCCCAAGCAGAGTGTCATGTAGAGGGCATTCTGTGAAAAGCAAGCATCATACTAAAGAAAAGACTTATCTGGGGACTCAGGAGGGGTTTTGTGGGACAGTGTAAGGTGTATGGTGGGGCAGTGGTGATGGACATGCCCTCTGTAGACTGTCTCCAAAGTGAGAGGCAAGTGGAGTGCCTCTGGGGCACATCAGGTGTTTTGGAGTTGACCATCCCAGTCTCTTATTCATGTTTTCCCTGGACTTCCAAGAACTCAGGTCTTATCTAAAAAGCCTGCCCTATGTTTCTCCATCCATCAAGCAGGAGACTCCCTGAGGGCAAGAACTGAACCCTTATACTTTTTTGCAGAGTACTCAACTGGGAGTAGGAAACCTCCAAATTGTTACCACATTTTCAGACTCCAGAGGACTCCTGGGTGCCCCCAGTAAGGGGATTTGGAAGATACGGCTGAATCCAGCGTCAGCTCACTGGCAGGGCTCATCCGCATGGTCTCATTTGTCAAATCGGGATGGGGCAGGGGGTGGCCAGACTGATAGGTTTTGTGGAACTTCTAGAATTCTAGCAAAGAAGGAGCCTGACCTCTTAATATTAGCTGAGTTCTAACTCGGGCGGGCATTTTACATATCCTTATCATTTAAACAGTAGGATTGCTTTATGATAAAGAGAGCATCATCCCTATTTCACAGACAAGGCAGCGCAAGCTCAGAGAAGTTAAGAATCTTACCCAAGGTCACACAGCTAGTGTGTGCAAGTGGTGGAGCGGGCTTCAGATCCATGCCTGCATCCCTGGCATCAATTTCGTTCCCTCCCACTGTCCTGCTGTTAGTCCATCCTTATCACAAGGGGTTTATGCAGCCTCTGTGCTTATGACCTTTGGCTGGGTCCTTTGGAGCAGCAGGGTCTGTGTCTGTCCTAAGGGATACCCTCCCCGCCTCGGGAGAAGGACTGATGGACAAAAAGTGACCGTGGCTTCCAGTGGTACAGATGATCGCTACGCCCCAGTCCATGGTCAAGGCAAGGGGCTGACGGAAAACTCAAAGAGGTTAAGAGCATCTAAGGAGGGGTTTTCAGAACTGCTTCTTCCTCACCTAGGGGCGGGAGGGTGCTGGGGTCCCAAGAGGTGGGAATTGCAGGGGGGCTCTGGGCTGCTGCGGTCTTCTGCGGGGTGGGACCCTGGACAGTGGCCTCGGAGGCGCTGGGCACCGGGAGGCACTCAGAGTGGCGAGTTCTGCCACCGAATTCCGACCCGTGGCTGAAGCCAAGGCTGCCCGTGGGGGACGACAGGGCTGGCAATGACCGGAGGGAGCCAAAGCCACAAGGCCAGGGAGAAAAATTAACTCGGAACCCAAGTAGCCTGCAGCAGCTGGGGCACCCGGAGGTCCGTGCACACGCGGGCGCTCTGCCCACTCCGACGGGGTCTCCGGGCCGCACGGGGCCCCGCCCCCCACTCCTCAGACCGGGCGGAGACAAGGCTCCCGCTGGCCCTTGGTCTTCCGGAAAGTTCCCTGGGAAGCCCAAGCGTGGAGGTCAGGGGTATACGGCACCTGGAACCGACGGCTGGGCAAGGGGAGACGGGCAGCTCCTGGGACTGGGGTCTCGAAGCCCCCGCCCCATGCACAGGGCGCGAAGCTGGCAGCAGCCGCCCCCCACCCGTGTTCCTCTTCCCCCACCAACCCGGGCTGCCCAGGACCGAGCCCCCGACGTGCGGGGGGCGGGGCCGCAGCTGCGTCCTTGGCCCCACCCACCCCGCGGCTGTTGTCAGCCCCGCTCCCCTCCCTCCCTTCGGGCGCCCCCGCTCCGCCCAGGGCGCCCCGGGCCTCCCTCCTTCTCAGCCTTTCTTCCAGACCGAGGCCTCGGTTTTCCCTTCTCCCGCCTGGGGGGAGGGAAAATGTTCCTTATTCAAAAACACCAACTGGGGCCTTCTACAAGGGGTGTGGCCTGTGGAGTAGGGGTGCGGGTGCAGGGAAGGGACTTGTTCCTCGCGCGCCCCGGGCCCGGCTTCTTGCCTCACTCTGTGGGAGCACAGACGGCAGCAAATTAAGGTTTTGTTTTATTTTATTTAGTGAAACATTCGTTTGTAAAGTGAATCTTCAGTGAAGATGTCCTGAGTGTGCGTGGTGAACGATCGTGGTGGGGGGCGTCAAGCAAAATCAGTGCTTACTCCTCCTCCGAGTCCTGTCCCCTCCCATTCCCCAACTCGTCCGGGCCTCCCAACCAATCACTTGCCCAGGCCCCGGCCCAAATCCCAACTTGCCCAAAAACTGAGCCTCCTGGGGAGAGGCTGGGGTGGAAGGAGTCAGATCTTGGGGAGGGCAGGGGCTGAGACCCGACAGCCCCGCCCCTGGCCGATTAAGGACCGGGAACCTGCACCACGCTGCCGCCTTCTAGGGAAGGCCGGGCAGTTAGGAGAGAAAGCGTTCATGGGAAGCTTGCAGAGAAGGGTAGGGTCTTATCCAGCCCCATTAGAGGAGGGGGTGTCAAGGCAAACACTAATGGGGTGTGATTTTTAATGCCTTCTTCACTCAGCTCTAGCAAGGCACAGAACACAGCAGAACAGGGGCGCTGGTAGCCTCGCCTTCTCAGTTGGCTGCAGAGACCCCTCCATGGAGAGTCACCTCTTCTGGGTCCGAAACTGTCTGAAGAGCCACTGGACAACGAAGGGCCACAGGAGGAAGAAGAGCAGCGTGCAGCCTGAGAGCCTGAAGGGCCAAGGCCGGATACTGGGTGGGGGCCTCTGCTGCCAAGAGGAGGGAGTCAGGGACCATCCCAGGCCTCAGCACAGACTGGGCCCTCCTTAGGAACCCCCTTCCTGAGCTTAGTGGGAGCTAAGTTGTGAGGAGGGGGACAGAAGAGACCCTCTTCCAGGAGTCTGGAAGGGAAGGGATCCACAATATGTCCCTGACACACTGAGCTCTACCACCCTTCCACATCCTCCTCCCCAGAACAATCCAAGGCTGGGGAGGGGCTGCCATATGGAGGAATGGCTTCCAGGATGTCTCCTCTGGTCCACAAAGCAATGACCCTGTTGGTAATCTGAAGACCCCATATGCCACATGTTTCAGAGGAGAGCCCTGGACACTCAGATTTTTTGTTTCTAAATACCATTCCCCACTTAAAGGATCCAGGTCTTCTTGGAGAAGTGGCTGATTCCAGGTCTGGTGCAGGGAAGGAAGAGGTAAATTGGGACATCTTAGACCAGAAAGCAAGGAAGCTTTTAAAGATTAATGAGGTCCTGTTATAAGGACATAGGACCTCGCTTGAAAGGGTCCTGAAAGGATACTCAAAACAGCAAAAATTGGAAATTTGTCACCACTGAGGTGACTTTTAAATCAACTCCTTACTTAAAAATAGATAGAAAAAGAAATTAAGCACTTATCCTGCCTTTCCATCAAAATCAAACCAAACCCATTGCCATCAGGTCAATTCCAACTCATAGTGACCCTATAGGACAGAACAGAACTGCTCCATAGGGTTTCCAAGGCTGTAATCTTTACAGGTGCAGGCTGCCACATCTTTCTTCCATGAAGTGGCTGGTGGGTTTGAACCACTGACCTTCCAGTTAGCAGCCCAGCGCTCAACCACTGCGCCAACAGGGTTCCTTAAGGAACTATATTTCAGGGAAACCCTAGATGATCAGAGAAAGTTCTACTATACAGAAAAATGACAGCTAATACATGTTAAAGGCATAATAAACTTTAAAAGTCAACATTTTTTGCAACCACTAAGTAAATTATTGATTCAGGCAAGAATTATCAATTGCTGTTTAAAACCATGTGGCAAATGGGGTTAGCAGGGAACTAGACATTTGCGAAGTACCAAGATAACACAAGACAGAATATTCCCTGGCTGCAAGAGGAAATTGTGACTTTATAATGGTGGGATCGGGCCATTATTCCCTTAATCCACACAAGTGGTCCATGCTGGAAACACTACTGGTGTGTCCCCTGATGTGAAGAACATAACTTCTAATATAACCTGGTCAAAATTATCTAACTTGACTCTAATCCAGCCCTTAGGTCTAACCTCTAGCTCACAGGAAATAAAATGTATAGAGGAACTAGCTAAAATGATACCATGAGAATGTGCTCAAACAAACCCAGAAGATGGGACATTCTACAGGACCACTGGCCCATTCTCATCAGCACTTCAGTGGCAAGGAAAAGGGACAGTTCTAGATGACAAGAGATTTAAGGAACGTAAAATGCAGTGTGTGGTCCTGGACTGGACAAATAGCTGGAAAGGGCAATCTTGGAACAACAGGGGCAATGTGAATTTGGATTAGGTATTTAATGATATTAAGAAATTTCTAATCGTGTGATAAATGTTTTGGCTAGGTAGTAGAATGTTCCTATTTTTAGTGATGTAAACCTAAGTATTTAGAAGAGGAACACCCTGAGGTCTACACCAGTTACTAGTTGTTGTCAAACTGATTCCAACTCATGATGACCCCATGTGTGTCAGTAGAACTGTGCTCCATAGGGTTTTCAGTGGCTGATTTTTCTAGATTGCCAGGCCTTTTTTCTAAGGTGCCTCTGGGTGGACTCAAACTGCCAACCTTTTGGTTAGCATTGAAGCACATTAATCATTTACATCACCCAGAGACTCCTATGATGTCTATAATCCACATAAAATCTCAGCCTATAAAGTTAGTGAAAAAAAATAAAGTTCTAAAAATAAATAAAATGTAAGGGAAAAAAATAAAGTCCTGTGTGGGTAGGTGGAAGGTGCTGAAAGGTGGGCTGCTGTGGGTCTGAGGAAATTCCTGCCACCCTGTTTGATTCCAACTGTACAGAGCGGGTTACGGGTCACCTGAGGGATCCCCCATATCGAGCAACTCAGCCCCCTCCTGCCCCACCACTCCAGGCTTATCAAGAACAGACCCACTCAGAGTTAACGATGGGTGCTAGCTTTAGGGGGAGATAGGCCTGGGGCCACTCCCAGCTCCATCACTTAATCTTAATAATAATAGTAACAACAACAACGGGCCCAGTCATGAAGGGCTTCCTGTGTGTTGGGCACTGCGGAAGCACCTGCATGCATTATCTCACCTAATCCTCACAGCAGCTCTGTGAGGGTCTTCCAGGCTGTGCGCCCTCAGGAAAATTACTCAACCTCTCAGAGCCTTAGTTTCCTCATCTGTAAAAAGGAGATGAAAAGAAAACCTATCTCGTAGGGTTGATGTGTGATTGAATGAGATAATGTAAGTAGCAAGTCTGGCACACAGCTGGGGCTCAAGAAATGGCAGCCATTACTTATTTTGCAGAAGCCCAGGAGCCAAGATGTAAGGGGCAAACAGATCTAGGCGTCAAGGAGAAGGGGTGAGGGATGCAAGGGGTGATCTGTTTGTGGGGAAACCTTAAGAATGGGAACAAAAGCCTGACTGAGGGGCGCCCTTCCAGCTCTCAGAATTCATTCTCATTACTCCTTTCTCTTCAGGCAGAAGGAAGGTAAGCAGGAAGGGAAGGGCCTCCCCATTCTCCCTTACAGGGTGGAAGCACTTCAGACCCCCTGGCTTCCCTACTGGCAACATGAACCACATCATTCTCTGAGGAGGCAGGCTGTGGGCAGGTGGCAGCATGGGGACAAAGACAAACGCAGCTGGGTGAGAAGGCTGGAATTGGGACGCCCAGACTTCTGCCCCAGTCTTAATGGGGTTGGGGGGGCCCTCACCTGCTTGTGCGGGTGGGGCATGCTTTCCAGGCTCTGCAGTCTCCCCTGGACATCCTGCATGCTCTCCTGCAGCGCCTGAACTGTCCCCGTCAGCCACGTGTCCAGTTCCTGGGGTCCCAGCAGGCTGCCCCCAAACCCCTCTGTAGAGCACAGACACACAGGGAAGGGAACTCAGGAGGCAGCTCAGCTAGAGGCAGGGTAGGGTGGTGGCAGGCTAGAGCACATCCAGGGAAATGTAATCATAGAATGCAATCCTTGTACCAAGTGTGACTCTTGCAAAGGCCATCCATGTGGCTGAGTAATGGGCCTCCAGGCGTTTAAATCCTGGCACTACCACTTACAGCTGTGTGACTTTGGGCAAGTCATGAACTTCTCTGAGCCACATTTTGTCATCCAAAAATTAGGGTAAGATGCCCTTTCCCTCACAGAGTTGCTTGCTCAGAGAAATAAAGGAGATAATATATATGAAAATGCCCCTATAAGCCTTGGCATACAAGAAGTTCTAGAAGGGGTACAGGGCAGGACACACTGTTCTCCTTTGAGATTGCCAAATGGGAGGCCCAGAGAGAAATGGTGACCTCCCTGGGCCACAAAGCTGTAGGTGATAGAGTTGGGATAGGACTCTCATTCCTTCTCAGCACTAGCGGGGGCTGCAGGCTCCTGGGTGGCCCTCAGGGGGAGGATGCAGGGCAGGGACTTTGCCCACCCAGGCAGGTGTCTGCCTGTTTGGCAAGCCTTCCTGGAAAGAGGTTGCTGTCTCGGTGCCCAGAACTGGACTTTCACCTCTGCCCTAAGGGGGTAGCTGGGGGAGGCCTGGGTGCTAGGGCTGTGAGGAAGGGCAGAGGAAGATGAAAGGTCGGACAGGGGCTCACCTTGCTCTCTGGGGGGGCTGGGGCTGGTCCTGGTGTCAGGCTCTCCTCCAGGTGCTCCCCTCTGCTCTGCCCAAACCTCCTGAGATGAGTCATAAGGTCTGAGGGTGAGTGGGAGCAGCCAGGGCACCATGGGGATGGGGAAGGGGGGGAGAATGGGTATAATCTCACCAGCTCTGGCTCCAGCTGCTCCAGGGAATCACAGAAAACCTCGGAGTCCAAATCCCTGGGCAGCTGGAACTCTGAGGAGTGGGTAGGTGGAGTTATTGACAAGCGGGAGGCTACGGATGGAGGGCAGGGGCATGCAACTGGACAGAGGACCTGTTCAGGGGGCAGTGGAGACATTGCCATGAGGGGCACAAATGGGTCACACGAAATGAGGCCCTGGCACGGGAGTCCCAGAACCTGTGCCCTGGCTTTTGGGAACATAGGCAGTCTCAGTGTCTGTGGGCATGAGGCGTGAAGGGCAAAACATGGCATCCAGCCTTCTCCCCTCCACCCCACCTGGAGGTCTCTATCAGGGTTTGGCTTTCTGCTCCTGTGCCCAGGTACTGACCTGGGCTTGGAGGGGCTGGTTCCTTGCGGGGGCAGGGAGGCTCCAAGTCAGCCCCAACATTCCTGTTCAGTACCCGCTCTTTCTGACCTGCTGAGACACAGCACCAGAGGTGGGTCTAGGGGAAGGCTGGTACCCTTGCTGCCTGTCAGCTCCAGACACTGCCTGAGACCCTTTTCATTGGGGGCACTGGTTGGGGTTCTTACAGGGTCATCATCTGGAGCCCTCTGCCTCAGCCTCCCCACCCCCAACTGAGCAGCCCCCTTAGCACTGGCTGAGCTCCTGTACTGGGGGCCTGACCTGTGACTCTTCTCAGGAAGGTTTCCGGGGGCCTCGGCATGTCAGGGATCACCTGGTACAGGGGCTTGAAGTAACCAAACATGTCCTCTGCCACCTCACCTAGCGGCACTGTGTCGATCACCTGTGGGAGAGGGGGCCTGTTGAGGGGAGCTGGCCCTGCTATGCTCCCACCACTGCTCCCCCTGCCCCTGCCCCTGCCCACTCTACCTTTCTCCAGCCAGGGGCAAGAGACGGGCAGGATTGGGAGGCAGCATGAAGGCAGTGATTCCCATGGGGGTATCAGTGTGTATAAAACATAATGAGGTCAGCACTAGAGGGGTGGAGGGGTTGGGGGCAGGCCACTGGGGTGGGAGCTTGGCCGGCAGCCCTCCCTACCTTCTGCGCCACCACCTTCATCTCAGCGATGTAGGCAGACATGGCCTCCTCCCTGCTCATCCTGCCCAGGCTGTTCCAGGCATCCCTGGGGGGAAGAGGGCTGTGAGAGGGCTGCTTGACAGCTGAGGCTTGCTTGCCCGCCAGGTCGGTAGCTCACCACTTATAGCGTCCAATGGGGTCCCAGAAACCGGGCCGGGGAACCAGGCAGGGCCCCATGGTAGCTTGTTTGTAGTAGCTGTAGAAACGCAGCATCTCTTCATAGGAGGGGCGGTAAGAGCCTGGGCGGGGGTTGAGAAGTGGAGGGCATAGTATCACCTCCAGCCCTGGGAGGATGAAGACGGAGGGGAACCACCCTTGGAATGGACAGAGACAGTGAGGGGTCTCATCTAGAGCAGCTGGACAGGGGCGAGTAGCAGAGGGGTCCCACAGTGCAGCTTTGACAGGGACCAGTAGCAGAGGGGACCCACAGTGCAGCCTTGATAGGGACCTTTCTGTAGGAACTTCAGGGATCAGAGCCACTTTCCACCTACAGGCCAGATCCCAGCAGACCTGACACCCAAAACAAATGCGGGTCCCCACGATGTCCCCCGGCCTCACCGTTCTTGGGCAGGCTCTGAATGACGCTGACTGCAGCCTGGAACTGCTTCTGGCAGTCTGGCTCTGGGCCTTCATCCTCGGTGCCCATACCCAGTTGTTCCGAGCCCTGGAACCCTACTTTTGAGCGATTCTGCAAGAACAAGTCCCATCAGAGCAGGCCTCCAGGGCCCACCCTGTACACACCTCCATAAGTCACTGATCCACTTTCCAGGAGGGCAAACCAAGCTCTTTAGAGGCCTGAGTGGGACATCCTGGGAGGTCAGAGCACGAGAAGAAGAGGCTGAAGGAGATTCCTTTTCCTACCCCAAGGCAACGTGGGCGGGGCCAGAGTATCGGGGAGCTCCGGTGGGTGGGCGGAGAGGCGGGTGGTAAGGGTCCAGTATCAGATACGTCCCTTGATGCTTGTCTTTAGGTACGCATCCCCAACTCCTAGATGGGCGAATGGGCAGGTGAGGAGTCAGGGCGGGGCGAATACTGTCTCACCTTGGACCCCTGCACCCCGACCCGGCCGCCCTGCACTCACCCCGTGGCGCCCACTGCACGGACACCTGGGTCCTCTCTCGGCACTTGCTGGCGGCTTCCGACTGACCGCTGGGCCCAAACTGGCCGGGATGGGCACAAGCAGCAAGGGAGAAAATTGAGCCAATAGGAGAGCCCGTTTCACATTCGGCTTCTAAACCACAACCACTCAGCGTGGCTCTTTCAAGATTATGCAAATAGTTTCACGGTGCCTCTCCCAATCAGACGGGGCGATTGCGCGGGTCCGGCTCCCCTCCTGTGGACTGCCAGAAGCGGGCGACAGCACCCGCTGGTGGGCATAGTGAAATGACGCTGATTCCTCGCGCCACCTGGTGGAAACTCGCGTCTGGCTGCTTAGCTCCCGCCCCTCAATTCGGAAAGACACAACTCACCTCATCAAACACGTATCAGGTGCTGGGGATAAAGAAAGTCATGTCCTGTAGTCAAGCGTTGCAGAGAAGAAACATCGGAGCTGACGCAACTAATAGTAAAAGTAAGCCAGGAGGAGAATGAAGAAGGTCATTCCTGGAAGAAGGAACTGCAGTACAGAAACGGAGACTTGATATTCAGGAAGAAAATTCAGGACCCCAGAGGGGCATGGGAACCCGAGCCACTACGCAGCATCTCTGGGTTGGGGGTTTCTGAGAATGGGATAGAGCCGGGCGACAAGTAGATGGCAAATCTAAGTCCTGAGAAACCAAGCTTTCTCTTTGGGATGCCACGCGCTTGGCCGCCGCGGAGTGACGCTATGCGCCCAACTCCCCGCCCCCGACCCAGGGCACTAGCTATAGACAGCGCAGACGCGCGCACACGCAGACCTTTGTCACCTGTACACCCTACCTTCCGAACACATACTACTCTAGTGGTTTCATATATATTAAGTGCACACGTGACACGGCCACCATGCGATCCCCAGGCGAACGCGCACTAACCTGTTGATGTCGCGGACACCTACGCGCCGTGCGGCGGCCGTCTCAGGACTATCGAGCGCAGGGTGGGGTGCAGACTTGTCCAAGCCTCGAGCCCCAAAACTAGTTGCCGGGGACTCTAGAACTAGCTCCACCCCATCCTCTCTAGACTACTCAGCCTCGAGACTTCTACCACCGAGGGGGCGGCAGCTGGCTAGGCGCCAGGAGGGTTAATCCTATGACGTCACAGCCAGAGCCTTTCTCGCCTCTCCTCCTTCCAGCTCCTACAGCCTAGGCTTTCCCGACCCCACCTTCCCCCGCCCCGAGAACCGCTGGCCCAGGAGGAACCGCCCTGCCGATCCCCGCCCCCTCCGTCTGGTTCCCTTCTGAGACCTCCTGAGGGTGGAGTGTGGTGGGGGTAGAGAGCGCGGAGTCCTCATTGAGTTAGGGTCCCCGGGAAGGAGAGAGTGTCTGTGCCAGAGGGCAGCCTCCGCCCCCTCCGGCGCGCCCCCACCCCCGCCCCGCCGGAATGGAGGTTGTGACCACCGGTGGGGCCGCTATTCGAGGATCGCTCAGGGAATGGGAAGGCAGACCCACCAGCAGGCGGCGAACGCAGAAACTCTGGTGAACGTGGGAAGGCTCGCCCGGCTGGGGATCAGCGCCCCTCCGCACCCCCGCCGCCTCGCACCGCCCTGCGCCGTCTTCGGCCCCTCCCCTCCTCCCTGTCCCTCCCTCCGGTCCCGGTCCCTCCTTCTCCCTCCTCCCGACACCTCCTCCCGTGTCCCTCCCGGCGCCACTAAGTTTTTTAGCTCGCGACTGCGCGCGGAGCCGGGGCCCGGCCGAGCGGCGTTCCAGCTGCCCTGTTGCCGCGCGCAGACCCCGGCCCGGCCCCGGCCCTAAGAGCCATGCTGTGCGGCCGCTGGAGGAGCTGTCGCCGCCAGCCCGAGGAGCCCCCGGTGTCGGCCCACGTCGCGGCGCCCGTCGCGCTGCCGCCGCAGCCCGCGCCCACGGACGGCGGCATCAAGAGGCCCGGGCTGCGGGCGCTGAAAAAGATGGGTCAGTGACAGGCATGGGTGGCCGGGGTGGGAACCAGGGTGTTCCAGGAGTCGTTCGTGGGCTTCTCAGGCTGCGTGGGGCCGTGGGGGGTATGGCGAGGGGTGGAATGTCAGCGCCGTCGCAGATAGAGGTCGCGCCGCGGACTGGGGGAGGGCGGTGGTCACCTGGGGTGCCTGGGACCCGAGCGAGGCGCCCAGGACGTTCTTTGTTTCCCACCAGGAGGCGCCCGCCGGGTGTGCTGGGGTGCCAGCTGGGTCTAGCGGCGCGGATCGGGATCCCCGAAGCCGGGAGAGCAGAGTGGGAGAGGGAGGCTGGGAGGGTCTCTCATCAGCCTTCACCCTGATCCTGTTCCTTCCCGGGTCTTGCGGGCGCCCCGGAGCATCCTGGGTTCCTGGCAGCCCCTAGAAGGGGATGGGGGTTGTTTTAGATGAGGGTGTTTGTGGCTGGCCTCTGTGGGAGAGGCTGGGCTCCCAAACCAGCCCGCCAACCCCCGGCCCCCACAGGGGCAGCAGCAGCCAGACAGCACCTGAAAGACTGGTCTAACTAGTGAGAAAGCCAGGATGCTGATCTTTTTTGATTTTTGCTTTGGGGCGAGTTACCCAGGGGGGAAAGAATGTGGCTGTGGCTTATTAAGCAAGTCCCAGGAACAGGGCCCATGCTGGGTGGTTTACATATGTAGTGTCTCACAATCCTCTTTACCTTACTAAGAGGTGGGTCGTCTAATCCCCATTTCACAGATGAGGAAACTGATTCAGAGAAGTCAAGGAATTTGTCTACGTCCACACTGCTCATCCAGGGGCTAAAGTCTGGGGAAAGTGGGACTCATTGGGTGATTGAGGGGCTTGAATGAAGATGTGTATGTGAGAGTATTCTGTAGACTGTAAAGTGCTGTAAAATGGAAGTGGTGTATTGGAACTGCTGTTGGTAGAAAAGTTAATGACAAAGAGGGACGGGGAGTGAGCAGAAGGGCAGGGCTGCCCAGGAGACTAGGTGAGTCTTGGGGCAGAACTTGGGCATCCTGGCTGCCAGTCTTTTCTTTCCCTTTGACTCTGTCCCCTTTCTTCTACATCCTCTCACTCATTCGACCTACATTCACCAAGCTCTGACGATGTTCCAAGCACTGTGCTTGCCACTTACTGAGACATGACATGATTTCTGCCCTGCCCTCCATTCAATCATACATGCATTCAACAAACATTTATTGAGTGCCTATAGTATACGCAGCCACTGGGATTCAGCAACGAACAAGGCAGACACAGTCCTGGCCCTTCTAGAGCTGAGGCACCAGCAAGGAGGTCAGACAATGAAACAAGACCTTGAAGGGGAAGGGCAAGTGAGATGCTGGGGGACCTAGCAAGGCTGAGGAGCCAGCAGGAGCCCAGGCTGCACCTCAGAGCCTAGAGGGAGCCTGGAGTGCAGCAAAAGGAAACAGTTCCCCTGGTGGGGGCCAAATCCTCATGGCCTGTGCTTGCACAGGTATGGACTTTATCTGGAGGGCAGCAGGAGGCCCGGAAAGGTCTCAGGCCAAGTAAGGCAGACAGTGAGCTGTGAGGAGCGGAGGGGGTGAGTGGGACATAGGCAGGGGTGAAGCAGGGAGACCCACAGAAGGCTGAGGAGTCATTTGGGCAAGGGCCAGTAGGGCTTAGACTTGGGTGGGTTCAGCCAAGATGGATTCAGAACAACCTAGGAGGTAGACTTGGCTGGACTCTAATCGGGGTGAGTGGGGGGGGGGGGGGGGTCTGAAAGATTTCTCTACCCCGAGTGCCTGGGTGGGTGGCAGTGTCATTTTCTGGGCTAAGAACCAGGGGTGGTTTGAGGAGAGGAAGAGAGCCGTGGTGAGTTTGAGGTGCCGCTGAGACTCCCTGGTGTTGGGGGTCAAGTCTGGGCCGGAGACGCAGCCCTGGGAGTCAGCCCTGAAGAGCTTATGGATGCTGTAGGCAGGCTGAAGGCTGTCCAGGACACCCGTCTACCTCATCATTCCACACGTGAGCTAAGCCTCAGCAATGTGCTAGGGCACTGGGCCAGGGCCACTGCTGAGATGAACAACACAGGGCCTTGCCCTTGGGAAGCACACAGTTTAGTGTGAGGAGACACTGGTAAACAAATGATTACAGCGGAGCCCAGAACTTGGCACCGGTCACCTGAGTAAGGCTGCGTGGGCACCCTGTCAGGGTGACACTGTTAGGAACTATGTGGGTGTCAGAAGGTCATTTCGATCACCCTCCCCTCTCCACCACTGCCCCTTTCTGCTGAGTGACTCCCTAGAGAGGAAGCTGGACTCCGTGGGGAATGCCACACTGAGTGCAGGGACAGGTGGAGATGAAACCCAGGTGTCCTGGGGCCCAGCGTCCTGTGCCATCAGGGGCCAAGGCCCAGGCCTGCCACCCAGGTAGCTTCTGCAACTACTGCAGCTGCCACCTCTTCTGAGATGACCCTCACTGCCGCGCCCTACGACCGCCATCTCCACACCCCTTAGGCTAACAGAGAACAGAATTTATTTCAGACCAGGTGACTGGACTAAGTACAGGGAGTGGCTCAGAGGTCAAGGGCTTGGAGGGCCCCAGGGAAAAGGGGCTTTAGGGCCATACTGGGTGGGACCAGGACCATGGGGAGGGCAGTCATTTGTGGAGACTGGGGTCTTGCCCTCTCTGGCCCCCTGCCCCCAGGCTGGTCTGCTGACTTGGCCAGCCCTCAAGAAGCCTCTGGAATAGTTGAATAGTGAGAAGAGGAGCTAATGCTAGGATATGCCAATTCCCATCCTACTTAATCCTCAGACACTCCTGTGGGGAAGGTGTAGCAGGGAGGCACCTCTGCTGCCTCACCTCACAGACAGGAAACCCAGGTGGAGGGGATGAAGTAACCTGCTCAAGGCCACACAATTAAGAGGTAACGTCTGTCAACCACCATAGCCAGTTCTCAATGATAGCTCTTTATGGCCAGAATTAATGAATACTAATTAATGCCTGAAATCTAGTAGCTTCAGCCCTTGTCTACATTCAGGAGGAGAGATGAGAATTAAGATCAGCACAAAGCTGATTCCTATGAGGTGGAGGTCAGATGTACCTCCATTCTCTCAATTCTTCACCACTTCTGACACCAGCCTTCCACCTCAAGGCACTCTACTTCTCTGCTGGGCTCAATTAACAGAGGCATATCTAAGGTATGGCCGATACCCCGCATGCCACTTGAAGGGGGGTGCCACTGAACAGTTTCTATTAACCATTGCTGTTTCCATCACAAGCTGTGAGAGATCATTCAGCAAATTAAAACTAATACTTTCATATTTGAGAGCCTCCATGGGTCAAGGCTGACTGTGTGATCTTGCTCTGCTGAGTGTAGAAAGAGAAGAAGGTGAAGATAATGATTTCGAGCACATCATAGATGAATTTTCATCAGTGAAAGCAAGGAAGGCGCAGTTGTAATTTTCATGTAGTGCCATCATGTGTTAGGTACAAGAATAATGAGCTTGACTTGTATTTTTGAACTGATATTATGGTAAAGCTATCTAAAAGATGGGCATCAGATGGCTGGACAGGGCACAATTTCAGTGCTTGCCGTAGGGGCCATTATTTGTAGATATGCCTCTGGTTCAATAATTCGTTGCAATGGCCACAGAATTCACAGACCATATTCACAGCTATGGGGTTTATTAGGGAAGTAACAGGCTACAACTCAAGATCAGGATAACTTAGAAGTAACAGGATACAACTCAGGAGAGAAGTTACAGTTCTCCTGTAAGGACGGCTTCCAAGTAAGACAGCTCTCAGCTCCTTCTTGGCCATGCCCACAGGCACGTGGCCCTTCTCTTGGCTGTGCCTGCCGCTGGGTCTTTTTTTGGTCATGCCAGCCAGCAGGCCCTTCTCTAGGCCTCTGTCCTGCTGCTCAGGCAAGTGTTACAACTCTTTAGCTGCAATGACAAGTGCCCAGAGGCACTCCAGTCCAACAGCCAGCCTCCTGCCCAAAGGCGCTCAGCTCTCTCTTGCTCTGAGTAGGCAAGCCCACTGCAGCCGCCTTGCGCAGGTCTCCTGGCTCCCGCTGCCGCTCGTACTGCTGCCGTTGTTTCTCTGCCACTAGGCTCTGCTGTGGTTGCCACTGTTTCTTGCCGTCTCCAGTGTTTTAGCTCTCCTGTGTCTAGGAGGTTTTCAGCGCAGGGACCAGGGGTCTAAAGGGCGTGCTCCACTCCAAGCTCTTCTTGATGGTAGTGAGGTCCTGGTCCTCCTAAACCTGTGTGGGATTGGCCTTTATGCAAGCCTACTCTTTGTCATTTTCAAAGCATGGTCCTCCTACCAGGACCACGACCAATTCCCTTGGTAGGCCACAGTCACTTAGTGGGCATAGTAATCACCAATTCCCTCCCCGCCCCCCGCCCAGGTCACTTAATCCTATTGGGTGGGTTTACACATCCTATTTGCATGGTAGACTGACCAGTCCTTGTAAGGCACATAAAATAGACCAATCATAGGGCAGGCTGCAGCCCAAACAATTATTATTATTTTTAATTTTTTTTATTGTACTTCAGATGAAAGTTGACAGCACAAGAAGCAGTTTCTCATTAAACAGTACACATATTGTTTTATGACATTGGTTAACAACCCCACAACATGTCAACACTCTCCCTTCTCAACCTTGGGTTTCCTATTATTAGCTTTCCTGTTCCCTCCTGCCTTCTAGTCCTTTTCCCTGGGCTGTTGTGCCTCATTAGTCTTGTTTTGTTTTTTTTAATTTTTTTGTTATTGTACTTTAGGTGAAGGTTTACAGAACAAATAGTTTCTCATTAAACAGTCAGTACACATATGGTTTTATGACATCGGTTAACAACCCCACAATATGTCAACACTCTCCTTTCCCAGCCTTGGAGGACCTTTTTTTTTTTTTGGTGAAAATATACATAGCCAAAGATACACCATTTCAAAAATTTCTACATGTACAATTCAGTGACGTCGATTACATTCTTCCAGTTGTGCTGCTATTCTCACTTTAGATGAAGGTTTACAGAACAA